TAGATTAATACAATATAAGTACTTGAAGTATTTTTAAATTGCTACATAATTAGTTAGTGCACCAAAAATAAAACTGTCAAAATATGGGCTTAGATTATTTAAAAAAAAAAGATTTTTCGTAAAACTAGTAATATACTTGACAATAGATGGCAGCACATGTTCGCGTGTTATTATTTACGTATAATCCTCTATCGAATCAATGCAAATTAAATATATGCTCTCAGTAATAATTGTCGGTATCATCAAGCATCGGAATCGGCGTCAAGTAATGAAGTTCGAATAGAAATACTTATTTCTTGATGGCGGCGCCGTTCGTTATCGTCATGTCTGCATCAGCTGGGCCAACCCATTCGCGTTTTAAGCCAATAATGTCCATCAGCCAAGTATGTCCACATATTGGAACCAATATTGGTAAAGGAAATTATTAAGTAGAAAGATTAAGACGCTATGGATTGTGGTACATAAAGAATAAGGGAATAAAGTTAGTTTGTGTTACCGATGGTGGATGGTATGGTGATCACAGCTAAGTAAGATCTTGAGAAGATCTTGCCTATTTCTCTGCCAATCTGCTGCGAAGCAATCATGAGTTCTGATTTGAAAGGTACACACCATTAGAAACAGCTGTTTTTCATTATCATCATACCTACGATTTATATAATGCGTATTTACAAATACCCACACTTGACCGTAGCTAATGAATGCATGAACACTGTCAATGACATAGTTACTGTTGTGCTCAAAACGCTGATCGTTGACCACTCCTATTAACAAAGCCAACTTTTGACTCGATCTAACATTTTAATCACAAATCGTTCGTAAACTAAATACATAAAATATTCATCGACCATTGTTTGTTTGAGCGTATTAAAATTTATGACTGATTACAATGGTGAAGCGCTCGTGGCTCGACTGTAATGTGTGCCTTTAAGAGATGGATACAGATTCGAGATCGGACACGTGCCACAGTCGTTTCACAGTTTTTTAAGTTTATGGCGTGATGAAGTATTCGCGCGACTCCTTGTGGATTTCTATCTGCGGTAGCTATTCAAAAAAAAGATTGCTTCAGTTTCGAACTTTTGAGGTTTTATAGCAGCTATTTGGGGCTTACGAACCAACTGCTCGCGTAAAATGTAAACTTCGTCCCCAACCCAGGTGACGAGAGATCAAAAAACCGCTGTCGCCCAGACGTCCTCTCGGGTTGTCCCGATCCACTCTCAATGCTTTTAGGCATTCCAAGCACCGGCAGCTGTTCTTGTTGGCCTCGTCGCTAATGTTGATAAGTAACGAACGTGCAACTTACCCAAAGACACAACCCACTGAGTTTCTCGTCAGATCTTCTCAGTGGGTCGCGATTCCGATCCGGTGGTAAATTCAGAGAAGCTTAGTGTACATGTTAGCAAGTCCATTCAAACTCAGTTAACGGGAGCTCGCCTGCCAGACATGGTAAGGCCAGATTAGACTGTCAAAATTGATAGATGCCCAAAAAAAAGGTGGCTTAAAATAAAGTGACGTAACACGCTGAAATTTTCGTTAGCGCGATTAAGTCGTTCCAATTCATGGCGGATAGATGTCGCCACAAATCTATTGTGAATAATAAGAAAAAACAATGGACGAATTCAAGTATGATTAACCTAAATACACAGATTACATTATTGACAAACAAGTCACGGGAAAAAACGGAGCCTCCTTTTGTAGTCTGTGGGAGAAAAAACGCGATGCGACCGTGACAATGCGAAATCGTGCAATCCAATGTTATCTACTGTTTAGTGAACCTAAAATAAATTTTCACGCTACACGAATAAAGTTGATTTTGAAAGAGCCGATTAAATTTTTTAATGCGGTCTCGTTTCCGAGAATAAGCATTGCAGCCGAATTGAGATTTCAATTTTTTTTTTTTTTATTTTTTTTTTTATAGGAAAGCGCCTTTTATTATCTTCTGTATTGCAAGTTGTTGTGAATAACAAACCTACGTTGGAAGTAAACATCATGAAAAATAAACAAGTCAAAGGTCCTTCTAATGCTCTTTGTTCTCCATCGCTCCCTCATTGCTGAGGAGTGCAGGATGAGTTGCCTGGTGTACTGCAGCGCTAAGTGGTCGGCTGGTTTGCTCGTAGATCTGATCGGACCAACGTTTGGGGCTCCGGCCTCTAGGACGATTTCCTTCTACTTTTCCAGTGACCATCAGTTCTAATGTTCACACTGACGTTAAAGATGTTTCGAATATTGTCACTGGTCTTTCTAATTTTTCTACTCAGTTGTTTGCGCTCTTTCAGAGTAGTCGTGGTCATCATTTCGGGTGGTGATGCGTATCACAACTTTTTTTTTCCTGCCTATTCGCTGGTAGCCTAAGAGGCCATTCCAGGTACGCGCGGACGGATAGAGGTGATATCACGGGCTCAACCTGAGAGAATTTGCCAACACTAGCCCTAGCAAGAACGGTGCTTCGCAGAATCTACCACAGGATCGGAATCGCGAACCACTGAAAAGATCCGGCGAGAAACTCAATGGGGTTAGTTCGCCCGTCGAACTCTTGAGAACTGATTTAAAAAAAAAAAAACTAGTAAATTATCAGCGTGGACTTTTAAATCGCTAACGGATACATTATAAACAATCCAAAAATCCGTTTATACAGAGATTTTATTGGTGGTAGGACCTCTTGTGAGTCCGCACGGGTAGGTACCACCACCCTACATATTTTTGCCGTAAGTAAAGCAGTAATGCGTTTCGGTTTGAAGGGTGCGGCAGGCGTTGTAACTATACTAAGACCTTAGAACTTATATCTCAAGGTGGGTGGCGCATTTACGTTGTAAATGTCCATGGGCGACGGTAACCACGCACCATCAGGTGGGCCGTATGCTCATCAGCCTGCAAGAGCAATAAAAAACATAATGTTATAACATTATGTTTTTTATGGACTTCAGCAATGCCAGGGGCAGAGCCAAGCCGCTGCTTACCGCATTAAATTTAATATCGTCAATCAATATTATTTCTGAACACACGTAGATTCATATTTCAGATCACTAAAGATTTAATTAGAATTCTAACACTTATTAACTCCAATAAACAACATTGTGTTGGTCTCGTATGTTCTATGCTCGGTTCTTTCTTGCCTTACTTTGCCTTGAATGACGTCACACATTGCAAAATTACATTTGCTTAATGGCGTTTTGTAAAGATAGTGTAGCGATTTTGAAAAATGATTACAGTCCTATACTTCAATGCTCCAATACTACGCATTCCTTGGACAGCTATGAGAACCAATGTCTCCATCCTCGAAGAGCTGAAGGTCACCAAGCGCCTGCTGACTATGTGCCAGGAAAGGATCCGGAGTTTCTTTGGGCACATAATGCGATCCTCATTGCACAGCCTGGAGAAACTCACAATTCTCGGACAAATCGAGGGGAAGCGCGCTAGAGGAAGAGCGCCAGCTAGATGGGTTGACCAACTCAAGGAGGTGACTGGAGGCCAGATATGGGGAGCGGTACATATGGCGCAGAACCGGACCGAGTGGAGAAGATTGACATACAGTCACGATCCTCAGCATTGAGGGAACGACCAGAAAGACCCCAATGAATTAATAATTACTATATGAAATATTTTTATCTTGATGGTTTATACTTGCTCTGTTTAGTTGTTAGGCGTTTTGATCCTCTATAATAAATAAGATAAGTAATTATAATCCGGGACAAAGCAGACACGACCATCTGGTCCGAAACTGGTATACTCTCTACTGTACTCTACTTTCTATAGGAAACCTATACACTCTATTGTATACGTTTAAATAAATGCATATCAAGATATTACACACCAACAAAAGCCTTATTCACCACACGAAAGTTTGGTCTGTGTGGGTAGTAAACCTACGACCCTTGGCCGGAGTTGCGCCAACTACTGTGCCACCGAGTCTTTCATAGCCTAGTTCACTCAGATTTCGATTTGCGACAGCTGTTTCTCATTTGATACCTAATTTCCGTATTCAACAAATCACTACATAGTATAAAACAAAGTCGCTTTCTCTGCCCCTATATCTGTCTGTCCCTATGTATGCTTAAATCTTTAAAACTACGCAACGGATTTTGATGCGGTTTTTTTTAATACATAGAGTGATTGAAGAGGAAGGTTCATATGTATAATAACATCCATTAAATAGTGGAGAAATCAATAATAAATTACAGTTTCCGAAGCGAAGCGAGGGCGGTTCGCTAGTGATTAAAAAAGATTATCGGCAATCCGAACAGTACTGAGAAATGTACATTACTATTTTGCTATTGTTGCTACACGGACGATCCCACGAATCCAGATGCCGTACGAATATAGACGCGAACGTCATCATTCACAGGAAAAAAATATATATATGCTTAATCCAAAATGTTATAGTACAAGTTCTCGGTAATCATTTGCGTTCATAAAAGGTTGTGCATTGATAAAGTTCACGAGTCAAACATATCGTTTGGTGAAATGTGACTATTGTTGAGTTTTTTTTTATACGCTTTTATTAGCTTCAGACGTATGTATGTGAGTGTGTTTGTAACGGAATCTTTGAACATGATTTTGATCCCCTTCAAAACGTCGGGTTAACTCGAAATTTGGTATACTTATTAAGGACCGATGACAAATCAATATAAAAAAAATAATTGAAAAAATTGAAATGATATTTTGTTAGTTTAAAAAAAACTAACAAAATATATATACGCTTTATACAAAATCCAGCTAAAAATATAAAATAATTTTTAATAAATATGAATTAAAAGTAGTGTAAGAAAAAATGGGGTGCTTTTCAGTATATTATCAAAATAACCTTTCTACTCATATCTGTTCATAAAATATTTACCTATAACAACTGATACCATGCACCTCACGCCTTTTTTACAATAAAATCATTTTTTCTTACACTATTTTTCATTCAAATTTATTAAAATTTATTTTCTTTTGGATTTTCAATAAAAGCGTATTTTGTTAGTTTTTTTTTAAACTACTATTTATTTGTTACTAGTACTTACTAGTTCTAGTAGACCGATGAACTGCTATAGATCGCTGGAATCCGCTGAATTCAAGCTGCCCAGAACCGGTTATTGTGGCGACCTTGAAGGAGGCCTACGTCCAGCAGTGGAAGTCTGTGAGCTGTTAAAAACAAAACTAGTACATACTTAATTACTTTAGTAATTTTATTACTGGCCGTAGGACCTCTCGTGGGTCCGCGCGGGTGGATACCACCACCCTGCCTATTTTTGCCGTGAAGCAGTAATGCGTTTCGGTTTGAAGGGTGGGGCAGCCGTTGTAACTATACTTGAGACCTTAGAACTTATATTTCAAGGTGGGTGGCGTATTTACGTTGTGGATGTCTATGGGCTCCAGTAACCACTTAACACCAGGTGGGCTGTGAGCTCGTACAACCATCTAAGCAATAAAAAATAAATAAAAAATAAACTTTGAAAGACTTGGAAATGCTTTTATCGAAAATTCCATTAAAATCTTAATTATTTATATGCGTTGTATTAGGGATGAGCCGTAACATTGTCGATTGATTCATCACACACAAATTAGTTAAAATAATAGCTGAGACTGTATTGTAATTATAACATTATCAGCAATGCGAGAGTGTATTTTTTTTGTTTGTTCTTCCTGTTATACGCAGAGTCGATCTCACAGTCAAGAATTTTTATTAAAGCAATATTAATGAAACGTAAAATGAGATGGCTTATTATCGAAAAAAAAAAAAGATCTTTGATTTTGATTTGACTGGCTGTGTGTGGGCGAACGTGTTTCTCACGGCGTCTTTATAGCCCAAGAGCCCGTGGGCTCTACCTGTATGTATTTGACCAGACCTGAATTTTCGTACATTGAGACCCCTATACCTACCATGCATGAGGTGGGGACTCACTAAGCTCAAAGTGGTCGACGCGCCGAGCGCTCAGGTAGGACCGAATAATTTTTTGATCAGCATTATACCGTATTGTTTATAATTATTCCATAAAAAATTCACTTCTTTATTGTCTAACTAATGAAGTTTAGTATATAGAATATAAAAAAATATTAATTTCGGTAAATACATTGCTAAAGTAAATCGCAAGTAAATTATATTCCTCTAAAACAGTGAACGGAAAACATAATATACATCTGGCCGGGTAGTAGCTAAGATTTTATTATATGTTGATGTGTGTACGCAATTTAGAGGTCTGCCGTGATCAATACAAGTTTCTAAGACTATAATAAACAACATATTATTATATCAATGGCAGATCTGGTCAATTACTTTCAAAATTTTATTTTTTTAGCATTTTCAAAGTGGTCTGCCACAAAGTAAAATGCGCAATAATGGTCTGCCATTCTTATTTTCCGATAATAATAATCATATATTTTCAAAATTTCAAAACGGCAGACGTGGTCAAATGCATTTAAAATCCGTCAAAATCGGTACCTGTCCTACCTGAGCGCTCGGCGCGTCGACCACTTTGAGCTTAGTGAGTCCCCACCTCATGCATGGTAGGTATAGGGGTCTCAATGTACGAAAATTCAGGTCTGGTCAAATACATACAGGTAGAGCCCACGGGCTCTTGGGCTATTACCAATAATGCTCTGTGGTCATTTAGCTATGAACGATTTCCGTCATCAACTTCATAATGCACGTCTTCCGTGACCAGTGTGCTTAGTGCGTGTTTTTTAACGTTCTCGATAGCGTGAAAGTTAACTGAAATTTGTGTATGCAGTTGGAACAGCGCCCCTAGCGGCAACCGTAGGCAAACGTTCCAATGCCATACAAATTTGAGTTAACTTTTACGCTATCGAGAACGTTAAAAAACTCGCACTAAGCACTCGCACACAGATACACGAGGGAATATCACGTGCTCTCGACGTAAATAGGGCTCATCGTTGGGTTAACATATTGCCGTACCAGAGACGAAATCTAGGTAAGGCATATTTACGTATGGAGACTTATCTGTCGTGCTGATAACAGAGTCTTATCTTAAATCTCGTTTATCGTAAATGGAATTTTCTTGAAACTGGAAACGGTTCGTTGGCGCGTATCACACAGTTTTGAACTGGACTTTTTAAACGTATCTCAGCATTTATTTTTTTTCCTACCTAAGCTGATAGCCTTGAGAGGCTATTTCAGCGTAACCGTGGCTAGTAGGTGAGCTCACGGGGCTCAAACCTGACGACGATGCTAATACGAACCCTAGCAAGAGCCGTGCTTCGCAGAATCTACCACCGGATCGGAAACGCGACCCACTGAGAAGATCCGGCGAGAAACTCAGTGGGCTGCGTCTGGGAGCTAATTTACTCGTGACCGGTGACCGGTGACCGGTGTTTGAAGTACCTAAAAGCACTGTTAGTGGATCGGGAGGATCCGAGATGACGTGTTTTGGGCGACGTCGACTGCTTTCCATTCTGTCCGCAGGATCGGGAATGTAGTTACCGGCGGCCACGATGAGAGGGTTCTCGTGTCGTGCCGCTTTATTGAAGTGGGGATCTCAGCCAGCGCTCCCTATTTACTTACGACTAAAACAGCAGGAGGTGTCTATTTCTGCGCCGTGAAGCAGTAATGCGTTTCGGTTTGAAGGGTGAGGTAGCCGTTGTAACTATACTGAGACCTTAGAACTCATATCTCAAGGACCCACCTTTTACCCACCCGCGGCAGCATTTACGTTGTAGATGTCTATGGGCTCCGGTAACCACTTAACACCAGGTGGGTTGTGAGCTCGTCCACCCAACTATGCAACAAAAAAATAATAATAAAAAAAAAAAATTTAGCGGTAGGCAGCGGCTTGGCTCTGCTCCTGGCATTGCTGAAGTCCATGGGCGACGGTAACCACTCACCATTAGGTGGGCCGTATGCTCGTCTGCCTGCAAGGGCTATAAAAAAAGGCCTAATTTATTTACGAAATGAACAATGAGTACATTTAGACGTCAAATAAAATTTCGTGAAAAAGCAATATAACTCAAAAGAAGCTAGGAGCGATCCCAAGCGGCCGATGACCCCGGGCGTCAGCTGTTTTAAAATTGGTTTTCATTTCGGGCGATATAAAAAAGCTTAGACTGAAGGCTTTTGTTGTGTTCCTATAAGATGTATATCTTAAAAAAAAATGCTTTTCCTATATTCCTCAAACACGATATTTTCGACGAGATTGATGCTGACAATTTGTGGACAGTCTGAATATGATACATATTTTTATTAGACAAATTGCTTACAAACAAACGTGATAAGTTAAGGTAGCAGTTTTCATAATTATAGCAGTGTTACTCCTTCATAGTGGAAGTCGGTCGTGAAACCGTTAAGTATATAAATAGTGATGGGCAAATCACTTTGTTTAATTTCTTGTTATTTTGACATTATTTTTAAGCGCGATAGCGATAAGTTATTTATCTCGAAGTCAACAACGAAAACACTTTTAATATTAAACACATGCTTATCTGCTTACATGATTCACTGTCTAAAAAAAACGTCCACAGTAATTTTTGTATTCTAAATATTAATATGTATATCTCATATTCACTCGATTTTATAGTATAATAATGTTCCCACCTATAACCTTTTAAACATTTAAAGTATTTTCGTTTGATTAACTAGGAGTATTAAGTAGGATGTGTCTTAGCGCTCACATTTATAACGTTTTTAATAAATTAATAACATTTATAAATAACCATTTAAAATTATTATGCTCAAAAATGTTGTTCAAAGTTTTGCTCAAAGTTTTTTAAAAGTACTTTTTTCAAAAATCTTTTAGCAATATCTGCTAAATATGTGTTAATAAGCTAAGCTTAACACTAAAAATTTAAATTGAGGCAATTACATTTTCATTCGAAACTCATTTGAAATCACGAGTGTATTTTGCACTGGGGATATTTAGAGCTACTTTGCCAGATACTTTGATGTTTAAGTACACTAATATTACCGGTCACCGTCCTCGTCGAACCCGTCGCTTGCGACGAAGGGCTCGACGAGTAAATTAACCCTCAGACACAGCCCACTGAGTTTCTCGTCGGATCTTCTCAGTGGGCCGCGTTTCCGATCCGGTGGTAGATTCTGCAAAGCACGGCTCTTGCTAGAGTTCGTGTTAGCAACGTCGTCAGGTTTGAGCCCCGTGAGCTCACCTACTAGTTAAGGTTACGCTGATATAGCCTCTTAAGGCTATCAGCTTAGGTAGGAAAAAAATTTAATATTCCTTCGCTTTTGCCTCCAGTCTGCCTCGGATGAGTCCCGTACAATCCGAGGTTCAGTCGGACCCAATTCATAGGCGGAAAACGGCGATATCTTCAAAACAAAAAAATCTTTCGCTTATAATTTGCACCGTAATAACGACATTGGTTCACATGATTTAGCGATACCCTCCCATTGTTCTCTCTCGTTTGATTACACCACTTATAAAGAATTATCATAACAATTGATCGATTAATATAATGTTGAGTTTAAATATTTAAATTCATTGCCTATACAATCGATAGCTTTCGCATATCAATAGTAATTCGCTTTGTGAGATGTGAGACCCCGTGAATAATTTCCGAAAGCTGGTTAGCTTTTCTGTAATAGTGTGATTTAACTGCTTTTTGTAGGTATAGGCAGATGAAAGGACTCACGGCTCGCCTGATGTGAAGTGTTTATTGGAACTAATAGACATGACGTCACGAAAGCCGCCGCCCACCTTAAGACATGAGGTCTAATTTTTAGCCCACTGAGTTTCAGTGGGTCTCGATTCCGATCCGGTGATAAATTCTGCGAAGCACTGCTCTTGTTAGGGCCAGTGTTTGCAAATTCTTTCAGATTGACCCCGTGAGCTCACCTACCCCTCCGGGCGTACCTGGAATAGCCTCTTAGGCTACCAGCGAATCATCATCATCATCATAGTCGGTTGCTCTTGGCAGAGCAATCGTGCTCATGTGGAATTCTTCTTTATTAAAGCCTTGACAGATGTTTTTCATAGTTTGCGAACTGAGGCTTGGCGCACACACTCGATAATTGGGGTTTCAGTAAGGTATTTCACCTGATCAGTCCAGCGCATGGAGATTCGTCCACGAGATCTCTTACCATTGATTAAGTTAAGAGAAAGGTAGGAGAAAAAAGTTTTGATTGTATAGTGTTATACATTACTGCCTCATTTCAGATATAGATAAGATGGTGGAAC